GTTAGCCTTTGAGTTTGACATGCTTGCTGTATGTAACCTGTTTAATTACTAAAGTCCTGTTACAATTTGTTTAGTTTTTTGCCTTGTGTTTCAGCTCCTTTGTTCCATACTATCAAAACCTTTGTACTTTCTTTGTATTGATCTACTTTTGACCTGGAATTCAGTCTTAGATACAAAGAATTCTTTTGTCAGGAGTGAACAATATTAAATGTTTTCCAAATTTAACATACTCCTCAATTCCTCCCAGAACTGAGAAGGCTACACTGCCTGCACTGTCTTTAAAAAAAGAAAAAAGCCTGGTCTCCTGGCTTGGTTAGTTGGAGCATCATCCCGTCAGGGCACTTGCAGGTTCCGTCCCCAGTGGGGGCACGTACGGGAGCAACTGATCGATGCTTCTCTCTCACATCAATGTTTCTTTCACACACTCTCTCCCTTCCTTTCTAAAATCAATTCTTAAAAAATACACATATCCTTGGGTGTGGATTTTTTTAAAAAAGAAAAAATACCCACCATTTTAGACAGATTCTCAGTGCAGGATGGGTAAGTGACCCCAGAAGGGGCATATCAGAATCTCCTGAGGAGATGGCGGGCTCAGGGTGGGAAGGTATACAGTTTAAAAAGTCATAGTCCATATTACGATTTTACACTTAAAAATTCAAACCAACACCTAATTTTGTAATTCAAACAACGAAATAGCTCAACACAATCTTGACTCATGCAAATGTATACGTGAAACCTTAATTTTTACCTGGAGGCCTTTTCCAGTAGGGAGCCTGGGATATTTGTGTTATTGTGAGACAGTAGTTTTTAAAGTTTGGGAAATACTGACCCTAAGTCTCAGTCCTAAACTTGACACCAAATTGTGTGTCAGTCATAAGCATACAGCCCAAATCACTGAGGCTGGTTATGCTAGTATCCTGGGGGGAGAAGGGGAACTAAATAAATGAACAAGTGTTGTGTCAGATGGTATTGAGCACAGTGGAGCAGAGCTAAGCGGGGAAAGCAGCGTGGATGTGCTGCACACGGGACTAGAAGAGGTGGGGATGGAATTTTAAACTTAGTGGTTAGGGAAGGCCTCACTAGTAAGGAGATACCTGAACCAAGATCTGAAGAAGTGAGGAAAGGGAGTCATAAGGATTTGTAGAGGAAACTCTTTTAAAGCAGAAGAAAAACGTATGGTGTGCTCAAAACAGCAAGATGTGTGTGGCCAGATAGGAGATTGAGGTGAAGGTTTTGAGCAGTAGAGTAACAAGATCAACTTACTTTCTGGGTTGCTCTGCCTGCTCTGGGAGGTCTCAGAGGGCATAGGAGGACGAGTGAGACCGGGTAGGCTGGCATCCGGACAGGGTGAGAGCAGTGGCTGGTCCCGGGGTGATTGCACAGCGGGAGATGAGGCCAGTGAGACTCTGGTTATATTTGATGGTAGAACCAACAGGACTCGTTGACAGATGGAATGTGGGAGAAGGAAAGTCAAGGGAGATCCAGTGGCCCAAGAAACTAGAAGAAAGGAGGGCACAGCATGACGAGGGAGGCGTATGTCCATGTTGGTGACTCCCGGAGACCAGGCCCATCTAAATCCCAGAGTAAGTACCAGCACATCCTTCATCTAGTTTTACACATTTCTCATCTCTCCTTTACTAGATTGTAAATGGCTCCAGGGGCAGGGAGGGACTTTATTATACCCAGAGCCCCTGGCCCTTAGACGAGGAAGACGGTCCTGTTCAGTGAATTAATGACATACTGCGGCTAATGGAGGAGCAGCAAGGCCTTGGCTGAAAGTCCCGACTTCACTAGAAATTACCTTTATGATCTTGGTCAGCTAACCCCTTTGGGTTTTGGTTTCCCTGTCTTCAAGAACAAGATATTGGGCCCTTGCTCTTCACTTAAGCACTCTGCTGAGCCCAGGAGCCCTGGGATGCTGCCCTCCACTTGCTCATGGTCAAGCTGGAGACTGGACCAGAGTGACCTGCGGGTTCTTCTACGACTTCAATACCCAGGCCACTCATAGGGTCCCTCCCACTCACCCTCCACCCCAGTTCTGTGTGTAGATAACTCAGTTCCTTCAGGGGGCCCTCCCTGGCAGAATGTTCCCAGCTCTCCTCCGAAGCTCCACAACTCCGGACCAGTTTAGAAGCACTGACCCAGTCAGGTCCTGTACAATTGTATTATCCTCCTCCTCTTCCTGTAATCCTTAGGGGAATCAATAGAGTCCTGGTCATTAATGAAACAATGAAACAGCCTGCTGTGGGAAAAGGGCCCAGCACCCGTCTGCCAAGGTGGTGGTAAATTAATTGAGCACGGAGGTGACTCTAATGCCGTGGTGGTCTGCAAAAAAACACAATCTGTAAATGTCTCCAGGATATGAAATCAAACGCTAAGGACCACCAGTCACTGTCAGCCAAGTAGGCTGTAAGCTCTAGCCAACCAATTTCCGTCCTGTACTTCTGCGTCTTCTCTGTATGTCTTCCTGGCTTGTGTGGGCGAAGAGCTCCTACTCACTCTGGCTTGACACTGCCTGGCTGATTTTTGCTTAAATCAACTTTCCAATGTGTTTATATGCCTCCGTTTACCCTTTAACAGTTCATAGACAAAATGTTGCCTTAAAACAGCAAAGCTGGCACTGACCTGTGAAGGTGATTTTTATTTGGACTCTGATAAGGAGTTGAAGGGACTGACAGCACATTCTAATGTCACAGAGGACGTTTGGGGTGATCATTGGCCCTTTCAGTGACCAAAGGAGATGAGGCACAGATTCAGGCACTTCCCCTCCTCACGCTGGCTTTGTTTCTTACAGGAAGCTCCTCGTTATTTATGGGGAACATGCAGGAGAGTAAAACTGTTAGCGTGACCGAAGGAGGAACTCACGAGGCAAAAAGTGGTAAAGAATTTTAACTTCATTAGGTCACCTGGAAAACCAGGTGGGCTGAGCCCCAAAATGGCGCCAGCACCCAGGGACAGGAGTCAGGGGTTTTAAAGGACTCTAGGCGGGCTTTTCTGGCGGGGAATCCTCTGGGCAGACCCAGATCCTGGGAAGGTCCGGATGGGAAGGATAATGGTCTTAGCGAATGGAATGTGGCCTAAGCAAAAGGGAATGTTGGTTGTGAAGTGGCCTAAAGGTCAGTTCCCAGGGGAGGAAGGGCTATCGATTCAGTTATCTGATCAGACCTAACAGGGTAGTGTGTGCATGTGTGTGTGTGTGTGTGCGCACGCGCATTTATATCTTGGAAGTTTTGATACCTTTTATTTTACTTAAATGCTTATGGAAATAAAGAGACTTGTTCAGTTAAGAGCTTGAAATGCGTAAACCCAATCACTGTTTGAAAGTATTTTATCCACATGTTGCAAAATATGTGAAAAACCTTTACACACTGTCCACTAAAATGTGGTAGGGAGGTAATCATATAACCTGCGTGTCTTAAGTCCTATACAGCAGTATTTGTA